TAAATCTGCCAAGTTCGTGTGGCGTACTCGAAGTTAATTCTTTGCCCCGACTCCGTTGACGCCATTTGATTCTAATCGCATCGTTATTCCAAAATTGATTAATTTCATTGTTTGTGTCTATGAAAAATTGTCGCTGGTCTTAAGATCGACACAAATTCGTGGGCGGAGCTCTACAAAATTTGCTTCTTATTCTTCCCTTGAAACTAAAAAACATAATTTTCATTGTTTGTGTTAACATTTTTATTTAATAATAAAAGGTTTTAATTGTAACACCATATGCCTTATATTTAATTAAATGGTAGTTTTTTTTAGGATTCATATTATAAATAGTTTGATTGTTTATAGTGTTTTTGATGCTGTCTGTTTTTTATTTAGTTTTTAATATTTGTTCGCATTAATTAATAGAGTACATATAAAATTATGAAAAACTGTGTGGTTTATGCTTATGTTGCTTCTTGATTTTTGGGATTCCAATTGTTTTGTATCTTTCCTTGCACTCAAAAAATATTTATGCCATTGTGTTATCAATTCTCTTCCTGTTTTTTTTTTTAGTTTTTCTGTATCTCAGACTGATTGATTGATTGAAGTTTTCCATCAGCTATTAATTAAATGATGAAAGCTTGATTAATAAAATAGAAAAATAATAAATTATTCGAAAAGTTTGAAACTTGTATTTAATACTAGAAAATAAATATATAAACCATTACATAAATTACAAAAGGGACAGACAGCGAGAGAGAGAGAGAGAGAGAGAGAGAGAGATACCAAAATAGTGAAAGGGTGTAAGTAGTAATAAGGACAGCTCGATAATTTAATACGTCTAGTCAATGCATGTAGTTCTAAGTCTTATTTGGTTTCAATAGGGTGATATTATAGAATACAATTTTTAAGTTGCAGCGCATCAGAAATCCAATTTTGTCTGCATGGTCTGCATGTTGAAAAGTTTTAAGCATCAGACTAGGCTAGATATTCGCCCATATCTTCAATTCGCATTCACCATCCAAGTGGAAAGTGCGTTTTGACAATGTTATTTTAAAATTAGCTTGAATCTATTTTTTGTTATGGTAAACAAAATATATTTTGTACGACCGTTTCCTGTCACACTTGCGGATGTAATGTTCCAACTCATTATTTCAGTCTAATATTCCGTTGATTGGCTTTTTCTGTTTCTTTTCTTAACTATTTCAACAGTTGAAGATCACAAAAGGCTTTAATAAAATATATCTTTACTGTTCGCTTTTCATTTTCTCGACTAAGGTGCTCAGCTGCCTGCAAAGGTGCAAAACTATGTTTTTCTTCGTCTTGCCCATTCCGCCAACAAGCTGTTAATTCACTGCGCACATATGGATTTCCGTTTCAACGCCAATTTTGATGGATTATTTCGACCGGCATATTGGCGACAAACAAATCTGTATAGTTGAGCGAACGTGTGGGACAGCAGAGAGTGGGGGTTGCCCCCCATTGTCTGCGGAGCTATTCAACAGACAAAATGTTTGCCATACATGCGATTCGACTCGGGTCGTTTGTCTTTGCCAGCTGACTGGCAATTATGGCGCTCAATAGTTCCACGATGAATACTTCATTCACAGAATGCGGAAAGGTGTTTATGAGCTTGGATTTGCTTGTCAATGGGAAATTTTGATCGATATCTGAGCAGGTATTAACGCATGACACTTAATTGGCTTAAATTCCTTGGCAGAGGCAATGGAGTCTGGCACAGTTCCTGTTTGTTGACATGGATGGCTTTCAACTTAAAGGCATGTCGCAATTGCAGCAGAGTACCTTGGCAGCATTTCCATTTGGATGCCTTGCTCAATGACGTGTCTCTCACACATTGATTTTTGTGTAAATTGTCTGTGGAACTGCCTTTGAATGCATTTGCAGCAACTGTCGCCCACTTTTTACCTTTTCACGCCACTTGCTGTGATTTTGTATATCTCGCTGATCTCTCGCTATCTGTCTCTTTCTCTTTCTCGTTCTCTTTCTCCCTCTTCCTCGGATACACACGTTGCTCATTTCGCTAGCTAAAAATGCATTTCCTGTCAAGTGTAAAAAGGAAATGATGTGATGCTCTCGAGCTTTAACGTGCAATCAATCATTGCCGCCGTACTCGTATCTCTGCTATTTTACAGCCCGACACACAGCACATTGGCCGCCACCATACCCCATACCCCAGGCCCCAGACCCCAGTCCCCATCCAAGGTCCTTGGTTGGGTTTTTTTTTGTTCATTGCATTCCAGCATCTATGAGCGCTACCCTGTCCTGCCCGGCCAGCCCCTCCGTTTGTGGCGGCAAAGTCAACGAAAACGAGTTTATTAAGCCAGGCAAATAGTGTTAAGTATTTGTCAAATGTCAAAGTGTCTACGGTATCCATGAATATACTCGATTTGCACTCGTCACATTCCTATTTGATTCGTTGCATTTCCGCTACCACAATTTCCGCTTCTCGCCGTTGCCATTAAATGGAACTGCCTGGAGGCATCATTAACGGCAACTTTACGCAGGACAAAATAAAAGAAAGAGAACTGAAAACCCACTAAAAATCCTCCTCATCAGGCCCATCTCCACATCGGAATGGCTTTCGCATTACTTCAAATTCGACCTGTCCACTTTTATATTTCTTTATATAAGTCCACTTTCATTAAGAGAAGGATATCGGCAATAAAAGCCTTCGGTTATCCTCGCTGCTTGTCCTTGTTGATATAATGTTCTTCGAAGTGATGTGTTTGATTGCTTGCAAGAGATGTAACATATTAATAATAAAAATAATACTTATAAATAATAACTAAGTCTAGAATCGACAACTCAACAAATTCCTTGTTAACTAGAGTATTCCTGCTAGTTTATATTACACCCTTTAATTCTTATATTCCTAGCTTCTTCGCTTGTTTTTTACTTCGGGCCAACCGAGAGATTGATTTCGATTTATGCGTAATGTGTTTAAAATGATTTTTGTCACACTGCGTGCAGTCATTTTAACTCGAGTTCAAGTTCAAGCCTTCAACATTTCGCTTTTTGCGAGTAGTATATGCCATTCATCTTATACCGTTTACTCGCACATATTTTTGCAAGCAATTGAATCCGCCTGCCTACGCATCTTTATGGGTCCGGGGCTACGTGCCTGAACGCAGTAATTGGCATTTAATGCTCGAGCAAAATAGAATGCATCAACCTCCGGAGTTGGACACGAAATCCACTTATAAACGCTTTACGCACTTTTAATTTTTAACTGAATGGAAACGACGCTCGCCTTTTAGGTGTCTACAGGAAAAAAAGCCTATAGAACAAGAGATGACGACTTCAATAAGTTCCAAATTCCTTGAATTTGCTTGTTGTTTAATTAGATTTAAACCAATAAATGAGTTGACAGTTTTTTTTTCTTTTTTGTATGCGTCCTTATGCTAGAAAAACCTTTTGTGGTCAGCCTTCAATCTTTTGTGATTAATGTATCCGATTTTTAATTAAAATTGCAGCCAATTAGGTTGGTTAATTGTTAATTCTACCCGAAGGCAAAAGCCGCTGCCCATTGATCGAAGTGTTTCATGCTGAACACCAATAAGTATGTCAAAGCTCAGAACTTATTTTCCTCAGATGTTTTGTGTTTATACATTAATGAGTATTATGTTAATTTAAATATTCTCTACAGAAAAGGTAAAAGAACTGCATTAAAGAATTGGTAAAAGCCGCGTAAAGAATTATGGGCGTGTTTTGTATGTGAAAGAAAACTTGTATTTCAAATATACTTTGGCATCTCAAATATATATTTTTGCATATTTCAGATACATTTGCAACTTTTAGATACTGGTTTATCTGAAATATTCTTAAATAGGAAATATTTTTGTAGCTCTCAGATACCTTTGAAATAAATTGGTGTGTTTTGAATATGAAAGATCAAGTTGTATTTCAAAGATATCTCTTTTCTTACATAGCATGCAAACCTTCTGCTGGTTGTGAATGGATTAAACTTGAGCTGACTTAAAGATATTTATGGTATCGGTTGCGTTACGGTTGGCATATCCAAAGTGAAGACACGGACAATACAACAATTAACAAGTAAGTAAACAAAATGCTGGCATGTGGGACATGGACACAGCACGAAAATGGAGCAAATACATTCCCTAAAAAAAATAACAACCGAAACTGAAACTGAAACTGAAACTCATGCAGCAAATGTCGCTGACATACAAACGAGAAGCGAGGTAAAAAAGAGCTAAAGGTGTTGACAGACGGACAAATCACCTAACGGCAAGACTGACTTGAGCCAGAGCCAAAGGCAGAGGCTGTGTTGAACTGGCTTGGCTGAGAGGGGAAGCGGTTGGGGTGCACAGTTCCTCAACGGTAGACAATGGTTGACAAGTTGAGCGCAGTAAATTTTGAATTTCAAGTGCAAAAACTGAAAATGTGATGTAAGCCATGCGCTGATTGGGGGATGCTTGAATGGGCAATGGGCATGGAGGGAGTCGAAGAGCGCAGTTTGCATTGTTGACCATTATCGGCTTAATTAAATAATTGTCAATAGGCCTACAAGGAAGCGCCGATAGCGTCGAACTTGAAAAGCAAACCATAGTTAAAGCGAACTTTGTAAAAGCCGAAAACAAAGCTAAAACCCAAAACGAAACCAGTTTGCTTCGCAATTGTCACAATTGTCAACTCGTATCTATGAGATACTTTAATGCTCGTGTACTTTTGGTACTTATTACCGGTTTGGAACGTTGTCAGCGTGTGGGTGCAGCTGGACAGTGTCTGTGGGCATGGCAATGCTAATTCTAGGCATCCGCTTGCTCCATATAAAGTGACATGCACGCAGCCCGGACCACATCATTACCCAAGCGTCGCTCACAACGCCAAGTGTCGACGTCGACTAAGGACGAAGCCCGAACAGTCGCGACGGTTACCTATCTAAAACTCGCCCATTCTCTGCGCCCGCGTGTGTGTTTTTTTGTTGATACACGTGTGTGTCCGTCTTTTAAATTGAATAGAAAAGAAAACCTAACAAGAAAATGGCAAGCAAAGTAAGTTTCTAGATCTACTAGAAATAGGTTGTCAGCCAGACAAAAGCCAAACGTTACCAATTACCATTTGCATTCCGCGAAATGATAAGTTACCTATTCAATTTCGGAAAGGAACGCACTTTAAGCTTGGATAACATTATTTTCGGGATACAATTTCTGCATAGTTCCATCTATTCGATTTTAAATTTATTCACCCGTTTTCTCGTTTTCTTTTGCATTAACTGAGCCCAAGATTTTATTTTACTTTTATCTGTTACTTTTAACCTCTATAATTGTAGCTTTTGTCTTCTTCTTTTCATCATCAGTTTTTGACTGCTCTGTCGCTTTTGGCTTTGACCGGCTGCTGCTTGGGTGGCTTTGCAGCCACCTACTCCGGCTTCCATCCTGCGTATGCCACCTACCAGGCAGCTCCTACCGTTTACCATGCTGCGCCTGCCGCTTTCTACCAGCAGGCCGTAGCGCCGGTTTATACCAAGTCCTATGCTGTGCCCACGCCCTTCGTTAAGGCCGTTGCTCCCGTTGTGAGAACGTATGCTGCGGCTCCTGCGGCTGTGCCTGCTGTTGCACCCGTTGTGAAAACCATTGCTGCTGCGCCCTTGGCTCCGGTCGTCAAGCAAGTGGAACTGGAGTCGGCTCCCCGCTACGATTTCTCGTATGGTGTGCATGATTCCCTCACCGGCGACATTAAGAGCCAAGTGGAGAGCCGGGACGGCGGCAATGTGGTTGGCTCCTACAGCGTCCTTGATGCCGATGGCTATAAGCGTACGGTAACCTACACGGCCGATGACATCAACGGCTTCAACGCGGTGGTGCAGCGTGAGCCTGTGGTGGCTGCCCGTACTGCCGTTGTGGCACCTGTTGCTCCAGTTCCTGTTGTGTCCTCGGCTGCTGTTCCTGCACCCAGTGTTCTGCCCGCACCCATATACTACCCACAAGCACAACAGCAGCTGTTCCATCCACAGCAGCTGTTCCAGCCACAGCAGCAGCTGTTCCAGCCACAGCAGCAGCTGTTCCAGCCACAACAGCAGGGTAGTGCCGAACAGGAAAGCGAAGTTGTGGAAGCACTACGTCAGCCCGATCAGGAGCCAGCACCCGTTGATTACTCTGATGCCCAACAACAGCAGCAGCAGGTTTATCCACAGGATCAGCAGTTCCCACCTTACCCATCCGCTTCACCAGCCCCTGTCGCCACGTCCGATGATTCGGATTCCGATGTGGTGGAGGCGCGTTCCGCCCAGGAGTCAAGCAGCACCACCGCTGCCCCAGCTGCCGTTAACGAACAGGACAAAGAGCAGGACAACAAGTCTGCTTAGATTGTGATCCATCATTAAGCACCTGAATATTCCATATATTTTGTTGAGATTAAAGCCGTGTATACAATTGTAGCCCAACTTGTTTACTTTAATTCAATCCTTTCTCTTCCGGGGATATGTTTCCCAATCATATAGCATGCCATGTGAAAAACTTCAAGTATATTATTCTCAAAAAAAAAACATTTACTATTATTCGTTGGTTTTTTAGTGGTAAAATATAGCGAGTAACGAAAAGAAGAATATTAAATAAGTGTCATCTATCCATTGCAAGTGGAGTCTTATATACAAACATTTTGCATACTAGAAATTGTAAGTAATAAGCCCCATGACAATTGTAAGCGACCATTAAATATAGAAATATTTATAATATGGTACCTTATTGTTTAGTTAAATTAAATTGCCGTTTTATATACTCTGTACAAAACGGAAAACAAAAGAGTTAGTTAATTATGCTAATCGACGTTGAGTACTCTTAATCAACATCTATAGCTGATTCGCTAAATCTGCCCCTCTGCATATTTACGGTATTCGATCTCGGAGACGAAGCTACTGGCACCCAATTTTTTTATATTTATATATAAAACTGTTTATCCTGTTATCCTGACTGACTGACTGACTGATTGATTGTTGATCAAAGCACAGCCCAAACCGTAAGAGCCAGGAAGATCAAATTTTCAGAGTAGTTACCTTATTTGATAAAGGTTAAGTCGGGGTTTTAGAAAAAACTTTTTTATGAAATTTTTTTGTTTTCCATCCGATCGGCCTTCAACTCATTTCCAAAGATCTTTATACAAATTCATTTGAGGGGTGTTTCACACGTCTCGAAAAATGCAAAAAGGCCCCGAAATGCAATCCTTGTTGGTGGAAAAGGAGGTCAAAGATTGAGATTCGCGCTAAAAATTCATTTCCAAGGATCTACATCATTTGAGACGTATTTCACATTTTTCGCAAACCCCAAGCTTCCTCGGTAAAAAGTGCGATTCAAAGATTTTTTTGGTGAAGTTTTAAGTTTTTTCCGACTTGCATCAAACTTATTTTCGAAGCTCTACCTAATAACTTAATGACTACGTGTTTCAGCGATTTGGGAAATTTCGCCCGCAACAGTGGTAAATTGGCG